AGAGGGAGCAGGAGGTGCTGAGCTCTTCTGTCCAGGGACAAGACTGGTGGGAACGGCTCCACTGCACCAGGGGAGGCTCAGGATTTACCAAGGAGGGATAAAAAACCCTGGAAAAGCTTCCTGGAGAGGAGAATTTGTACAATATTGTAAACAAGATGATTTTGTTCAGCTCTGAAGTGCTCAGGCAGTGGGGCTGGGTGATGGTGCAGGTCCTTTCTAACTGAACTGTTTTGTAATTCTGATTTTCCCGAGAAGTTTTACCAGTTTGTGCCAATAAAAAACACCCCCAGGGATCAGCCTGGATCCCAGGGAGGAATGAAAACCACAGTGAAACAGAGCTCAAACCTTCCTAAAAACCCASCAAGAGTCCAGAGGCTCCTTGGGCAGAACCACAACCACACCCTTTAAATTTAGCCACAAACCCCCAAATTTTTGTAAATCTTGCCCTGAAGGCAGCGAGCAGCAGCCAGCAGGAATCTCTTTGTGCCAGGCACAGGGGACAGCAGGGACATTCTGTCCCCGATAAGGGCTGTAGTGACAGCAGAGAGCAGCGGGGACAGCCAGGACCAGGGGATGGCCCCAGGGGACAACAATGGCCCATTCTGCATTCCCGAGCCCGGCAGGGAGGACAGGACAGATCCCATTTCCAGCCCCAGCCCTGCCCTCACCTCTGCTGGCAACCAAGGACAGGTCACTCCTGMTTTTCCCACTCCCTGGAAGGAAAATTCCCTGTTTTTGTAGAGCCCTCCACGCGGGATTTGCTCCCTGTTTGACTGGGTGGGCTGTAACTCAATTTAAAAACATCCAGATTATTAAATTTATCCACTTATTTATTTATTTATCTATCCATTTATTTATTTATTTATTTATCTATCCATTTATTTATTTATCCATTTATTTATTTATCCATTTATTTATTTATTTATCTATCCATTTATTTATTTATTTATCTATCCATTTATTTATTTATTTATCTATCCATTTATTTATTTATTTATCTATCCATTTATTTATTTCTCCATTGCATGGTTTGCACTGAGATGGGGAGGAAAACCCATCCCAAGGGCAAGAATTTCTCTTTCTTCTCCAGCAAGGAGATGATTTAGGAAAATCTAAACTCTGTTGAAAAAGAGGTGATGGATGATTTGTCAGAATCAGGGGACAAAACTTCCCCACAGAAGTCACAGCCCAGGGAGAGGAGCTGAAGAGTCAAACATGAGAGGTCTGGGCTTATTTTTCACAGAAATGGAATAAATCCTTCTGTTTCCTGTGTTCCAAACCCAGAAAAACAAAAAGCTGCATTACATTAGGCTGCCTTTGCCTGATAAATGAYATTAATTTAATAAATGACATTAATTTAATAAATTATCAAAAATACAAGGTGTTTTAGTCGGTAGCTGAGGTAATAAATTAATTTCTCACCCCTGATTTTGTTTCACTGGCTTCTGTGGGGCACCAAAACCATTTCAAAAAGCCACCGAAACGTTGATTTGAATTAATTTTATTAACAAAAACTCAACAGTGAGTGACACGAGGGGCACTGGTGGAAGGTTCTGGGGGTTCAGCTGTGCACATATTTCATGGAGGATTTCAGGATGGCAAATCCATTGAGCTTCCTCAGCTGATGGATGTGCCTGCAAAGACAACAGCGACTGAAAATTAAACTGCTAAACTGCCAAATTCAGATTAAACTTCTAAACTGCTCTGCCCAAACTTTCAGGGGTGTTTAATGAATGCTGCATTCAAGAAATTCCTTTTAAAACAGCAGGAAACGCTGAGTTTCTAGATTATTCTGCCCTCAGAAAGGCACATCAATGATATTCTTCAAACAGGTGGCATTTCAGATTAACAAAACTGAGCAAAAAGTTTTCCTATTTCTATTTGTACTTGTATTTGTA